CACACACACACACACACACACACACACACACATATATATATATAGATATGTACGTATAAAAACACATGTGGAACAATGTAAATGGACAGATTTGGTTTTGATTATTGTTGATTTCCTTATTTAATTATCATCATTGTATGCACACCCATGATTTGAATGGTTCAGTTAAAAAAGATTAGTTGTTATATGAGGGTAATTAACATTAATTAATTATGTAATTAAGTAATTAATTATGGGTCAATGAATGCAGTTGATGTTTTAAAGGCAAAGCCCAGCCAACATTGGAATTTCCCAGCAGTTCAATCTCACCACTCAGACTTTTGATTCAATCAACCCTAATCTCAATTGCACTGCTCTCTTTGTGGGTCAATGGATCTGTGTTTCTGGCTCTACAAACTGATATTATATATATACATACATACATACAAATACATATTACAAAATAATTTGAGATAATTAATAATTATCTCCAATTATATTGACACAAATAAAAATTCAATTGTGACCCACATCTTAATTGTAATTTTTTTCTTACTGGATGTTTCAACTTAACTTTGTTCCTGCGATAATGAAAGTCAATAAAGATATATATATATATATATGTGTGTGTGTGTGTGTGTGCCTACATGGTTTCTAGCAATGGCAATTCCGATCCAACCTTGTTGGTATTATTTTCAGAATAAAATCTTGTGTACATATATATATATATACACACACACATAATATGAAAGCTAGTATTTAAAGCAAAGCATCAATTTACCTTATATATCTATGTATGTATATATAAAAGCTAATTTACTATATATATTTGTCATTTTGAGGGGGAAAAAAGCTTCATTATTTATCAAATGCTATTTGTCTCACTTTTTTCTTACAAGAATTTAAAGGGATATTAATTTAATTACTCTAATTTATACTTTATTATAAAAATTAAACCAAATTTATAATTAATTTAATGGGTAAAAATATATTACTGTTAGAATTTTATTTATTTTAGTAATATAGATGTGTATATATATGTGTATTTATATATATATATAAACTATAACTTTTTCAAATTAAAAAAAAAAGAAAAAAAAAGAAGAAGATCCAGAGAGTGAGGAAAGTGGGGGAGAAGGTGCATGAAACATGATGTGGTTCGTAACAAAAAGTTGAAAGAAGATAAAATATCAAAAGCATATATTATATGATACCAATTAAATTGTTTTTATTATTTTTATATTATCCTTTTTCCAATCCAAAAGATATAAAATAAAATAAAATCAAGATATGTGGGACAAGTAACCCAACAAATAAATTCCACACACCTATCACATACATACTTATATATATATATGATAACATAACAACAATATATATATATATATATATATATATAGAAAGAATGCATGGTGTAGTGAATTAATGTAGCCCATAATCATAAACCACGGCTCATGCGATTCTCCTTTCCTTTTCTTCGTTCTAACACCGTGACCAAACTCTTTATATATTTCCACTATATGTATACACATACGTGTACACATGTATATATATATATATACAATTCTTATCTTTAAGGAAATATGAATAATGTGAGGTTTAATTTGAGTCCACCGAAAGCTTCTAGTTCTTAATTATTACATAAATTGGTGTATAATACGTGGATTAATTCTCTTCTACAACTTTTATATATATATATATATATATATATATATATATAAAGTCATGTGATTTTCCACACCTTTTATCCACACATTAATTTCTCCTTTTTGTTTCCCCTTTCTCGTTTATGGGTAATTTACAAACCTCATGTTTCTGTATATATATATGTATAGACACACACACACACACACACACACACGATGCTTTTAGCATATTCGAAATAAAGGGTAATTATTATATAATATGTATATCTCTAGAGCCTAGTATGAGTTATTGTGGGTATGTATGTATATGTGTATATGCATGTATATAATCAACAATGAAATGAAATCAATTATGTTATGCAAAATTATGAGCCATATAATTATTGTATTTTGTATCAAAATTCTGAGTTATAACACGTTTTAATTTCATTTGCTGAGTCATTCTTACATGGATAAACATCATGGCTTCAAACTTTACATGCAAAATATATATAATTACTCTATAATAAAAGCTATATATATAATTATTATTGACTAATTTAGTTTTGAAAATCAAAATATATCATCTGTTAATTAATCATATTTGGAGTTTGATTTTTTTTATTTTATTTTCATTATTATAAATTTTCACATCTTCTTTTGGTTGAATAATTGATGGGTTCGGTTCCATTCATGTTCTTGAGAATTCAGAAAAAAAAAAAAGAAATTAAAAAAAAAGAAGAAGCATATTCTAGTAAAAGAAAATTCAGAATAGCGTAAGTGATACAAATTAATAATTACTTTAGAATCACAAAAAGATAATATTAAATAAATTATAATATTTTATTTTTAATTTTAAATAAATTGATATTATGTAATTTTTTTTATTATTAATATATGAAAATATAATTTCATATCTCATTGTATGGATGAAAGTATAAGTTAATTTAACTTAATTATACATCGAATACATAAAATTATACGTCTGCAAATTAAATTATTAAGATTTAAGATTAATTGAGAAAAATAAAATGTTCTTTTTTATAAAGTTAAAAAAATCTCTCAACTGATCCTCCCATTAATCAAAACAAGAAAATTAAAGGTTAGCAAGTAATCTGCTAATTAAGAAATTAACAATGGGTTAGATATGATTAATTAATATTATCTTATAATTAACCAACCTAAACAATGAAAATTTTCATTAACCCAACGTGACCCCTACATATATATATATATATATATATATATATCATTATCATATTTTTTATTTTTGTCCGAAATGAAAATGCTTCTTCAATTTTACAATATCCTAATAAAGAATTTTGATTATTTAATGAATTTTTAATAATAAATCATATTTCTGTTCTTGTGAATTTATGTAAATTAAATTTGTTTAAGTTGGTAATGCAAGTTTCTGAGTTAGAAAGTAGACCGATTAATAAAAAGTATGCATCCATATTGTTTTTAATTTAAGATGTTTTAAAATTTTGGAAATTATTTAAAATTTAAACTATGTAGACATCATATATTTTTTTTGTGAAATAATTAAATAAATAAATATTAAACAAGTAAATTATTATAGTTATTATTATATGTCAGTATTTGATATATTTTCTTAACTATTTTATAGTATTATTTAAAAAATTATTATTATTATTAAATGAGTTGTAAGATAATATAATAATTCTTTTTATTATTATAACTTTATTATTGGTAAGTAAAATTAATTTAAAATTATTTTTTATTATCAGAATTTATATATTTTATATTCGTTTAAAGTTTATTATCATAAATAATGTCACATCTACTCTCTAATATTAATTTTATTAGTTTTTTATTTATTTTTATGCGAATGTAGGGTAATCAAGTTCGTTAAGATTGTCACTTTACCACAAAATTATGTCTTTTTTTCTAATTAAAAAACACTTAATATATATATATATATATATATTTTTGAGTTTAAAAACCTTTTAAAAAAAATATTATTATTATTTTAAAATTCCAAAGTGTTTGAGGAAAATAAAAAGCGAAAAGTGAAAGTAATACATAATTAATCATATTATTTCTTCGGTCATTTCATATCCTTCAAAATTCATGTTTCCTCTTTTGCATTTTTTTTTTTTTTTGGTTTCCTATTCGGATTTCTATATGATGCCCAACAGCCCTTTCTTCTCATACAAGCCCCTACCAAACAGGAAACCCACGTTCGGATGTCTTATTAATTTAACCATTTAATTAATTTTTGTTTTTTTGTAGGTGCATGAACCAAATTCATCTTAGATATAATTCCACAAATGACCCTCTATTTCTCTATAGTTTGATTTTTGAAGTTCAGTGATGAAATTAGTTTATACATACACACATCTATTATAATATATAATCTTTTAATAAACCGATAACGAAAATCGAAATTTAAGAGATAATAAGAACATAACTTACTATGATTATTGAATAGAATTGATCTGTATTATCGAGAGTTTTTCGTAATTCCGTAATACAAACAAACTAAAAAGTCTATTTACTGCTTCCGATTCTTTAAAACCCAGAAAAAAACAAAAAAAAAAAAAAAGAAAAATGAATCACACATTCTTTGGTCCCAGGTTGCCTTTTCCCATCTCAAGATTTCCATGATGGCCATAACCATCATCTTCCACAAACCTGGACCAGAACCAGTGAGACTTCCAGACCTTACTCATTTCTTCAATGGGGATTCCCTTTGTCTCCGGCAAGAAATAGTAGATGAAGATTGACATGATAACCACAAAGAAGGCAAAGAAAATGAACAGTCCAAACTTCAAATGACAAAGCATTGTCAAAAATATTTGTGCCACTATAAATGTGAAGAACATATTCACCGACACATTGATACTCTGAGCTGCTGATCTGATTTCAAGAGGGAAGATTTCACTCGGCACGAGCCACCCGAGAGGCCCCCAAGACCACGCAAATCCGGCCACGTAAATACAGATGAATAGCACCACTACAATTGCATACCATTTTGGTAAATCTCCAGGGTTGCCATTGATCCCAAATTTAGCTCCAATGGAGGCTGCTACCACAATCTGCATACCGAATTTTGCACAAGACTTTACTCGATACTCATCAATAGAAAAAAGATAGGATTAAAAAGACACGAATTTGAGTAATTCAAACCTGGCATATTAACATTTGAACTCCTCCCTCGAGGAAAAGGAATCGTCTTCCCCATTTATCGACTCCATAGATTGAAACCAAAGTTGCACCGACATTTACAATTCCGGTAATTACAGCAGACATGAGAGAGGCGTCACTGCCAAACCCAATTGTGTTGAATAAAACAGGAGCATAAAACATGATGACATTAATTCCAGTTAGCTGCTGGAAGAATGGGATCATGATAGCCATGGTGAGATGAGGCCTGTATTTTCTTTGTAACAAGTTTCTCCATGGATGTTCTACCAATTTCGAAGCTTCACTTGCTGCAACTAAGTCTTTTAACTCTTCGTCCACGTTGTTGACACCCCGAATTCTCCTTAATTTCTCTTTAGCTGCTTCTACCTGGCCTCGTTCGATCATGGAGTTGGGTGTATCGGGGA